TATATATGTCTTTTTGAGACAGGGTCTCCCTGTAGCCCCAGCTGTCCTGGAACTCACTATGTAGACCAGGCTGGCCTTGAACTCACAGAGCTCCGCCTGCCTCTGCCTCCGGAGTGCTGGGATTAAAGGCCTGCACCACCACACCCAGCCACAACAATATCTTTTAAAGAAAGAAAAAAAAGAGGGCTGGAGAGACGGCTCAACAGTTAAGAGTACTGGCTGCTCTTGTAGAACACTTAGGTTATATTCCCAGCACCCACACTATGGCTAACAATCATCCTTAACTCTAGTTTCTAGTGGATTTGATGCCCTCTTCTGGCCTTTGAGGGCACTGCGCACATGTGGTGCACTTAACATAAATCCAGGCAAAATACTCTCCACATAAAAAAAAAACCAAATCACCAGGATGGTGGTGCACCTGGAACTTGCTATGTAAACCAGGCTGGCCTTGAACTCACAGAGATCTGTCTGCCTCTGCCTCCTGAGTGCTGGGACTAAAGGCATGTGCCACCAAGCCTAGCTCTAAAGATTTTTTTTTTTTAAGAAAAAAAGAACAGCGGGTGTGCTGACGACGCCTTTAATCCCAGCACTCGGTAGGCAGAGGCAGGTGGATCTCTGTGAGTTCGAGGACCAAAAAAAGAAAAAAGAAAGAAAGAAAGAAAAAAGAACAGGGGCTGGAGAGATGGCTCAGCAGTTAAGAGCACTGACTGCTCTTGCAGAGGACCCAGGTTCGATTCCCAGCACCCACATGGAGGCTACGAACCGTCCTTAACTCCAGTTCCAGGGACTCCGAAGCCCTCTTCCGGCCTCCGCGGGGCATTGCACGACACAGGTGCACTCACATACATGCAGGCAATACACTCATACACATAAAATAAAAATAATAAATGAAATATTTTTTAAAAAGAAAAAAAGAACAGTAACCTTTTTTTTTTTTTTTTTTGGTCTTTTTGAGACAGGGTCTCCCTGTAGCTCCAGCTGTCCTGAACTCACTATGTAGATGTAGACCAGGCTGGCCTTGAACTCACAGAGATCCGTCTGCCTCTGCCTCCCATGTGTTGGGCTTAAAGGTGTGCACCACCACACCCGGCCTAAGAACAGTCACCTTTTAACCACTATATAGATAACATCAAAAGTTACTTCTATGCCAGGCATGGTGGCACACACCTTTAATCCCCAAACTCAGGAGGCAGAGGTAGGTGGATCTCTGTGAGATTGAGGCTAGCCTGGTCTACCTAGTGAGTTCCAGGTCAGCTGCGGCTGTGGGGAGACCCTGTCCCCAAACAACAACAAAAAGTTGAACAGACCATGGGCCAGATTCTTTCACACACAAAAGCAGTAGGCATCGCTAAGCCAGCAAGATGGCTCCATGGGTAAAGGAGCTTGCTGCTATGCCTAAAGACCTGAGTTCAATCCCCAGGCCCCACATGGTGGAAGGTGAGAACTGACTCCTGTGAGCTGTCCTCTGACCTCCACATGTGCACACATGCATGCAAACACACACACAATTTTTTAATATTGTATTTATTTTAATTTGTGTGCATATCTGTCTGTATGTGCACCATGTGCATGCAGGTACCCATGGAGGTCAGAAGAAGGCAGGCATTGCCAGCCCTGGATCTGGAATGACAGCTGGTTGTAAACTGCAGGATATGGGTGCTAGAAGCTGGACTCAGGTCCTCTGGAAGAGCAGCAAGTTCTCTTAATTACTGATCCCTATCTCCAGCCTTGTTAAAAGCCCATGGGGGACATTATCATTCAAACCACCACAGTCACCAAGTGGAACAGTAACCTTGTACTATAGACGAAAATATTTATATATATATATATATATATATGGGCTAGAGAGATGGCTCAGTGGTTAAGAGCACTGACACACTGACTGCTGCTCTTGCAGAGGAACCCAGTTCGATTCCCAGCACATGCAGGGCAGCTAATAACCACCCACCATCCATCCAGGGGAATCTTAACATCTTCTTCTGACCTCCTTGGGCATTGCATGACACAAGTGCACTTACACATATGCAGGCATTACACTCATACACATAAAATAAAATAAAATAAATATTAAAAACAAAAAAGATAGGCATTTTAACCTCCTCTCTTAGCCAGCCCGGACAGGAGAAAACTAGCTCCAGAGGGAAGGTAGTCTCCATGGTCATAAAACTGAGCGGCGGCTCATCTCCTC